AGCTGGGCTTTGAAAACCACCCTATCTGCTCCCAAGGTCTGCTCTCAAGCGGCAGGGTGTCACCCCAGTAACCTGAGATGCTGGGGAGACTCAAGAAGCAGGGGGTCTCCAAACACCCAGTTCAATATACCCTGATATCCTGTTTACAATGCAGAGGCCAGCAAACTATTGTCTTCACAAGACACGTGTGCTAGAGCACATAACCGCACTGTTACACCATGTCTGACAGTTGGCCACTTGATAGTAACACGTGCTTCTGAAGAGATGGAGATCTGAGTTCTGCTATCAAGATGGCACTTCTGACTCGCTTGCCTCATTTAAAATGGGTATGCCACCCTTTTCGTCATCTACCTATTTCACAAGTCTAAGATGAGAACATTTATCATCTGGCAATGTTAAACTGCTCTGGTTTCATAAAAACAGCATCAAAGCATTAGAATGCTTACTATGGTTAAAAAAAAAACTTACTGTAATTATGGTTTTCCAAGTAAAATTGAAATATGAAAGAAGACTCCAATAAAGTTAGTAAGAGATCTGAATTAACTTAATAACAAGTACATGTGATATAATCTGTTTTGTCTGATTTAGAGATTCCAAGATACTGACATAATCTTTACTAGTTGAAGCCATGTTCGAATGAATATTAACATCAGTATTAACAGCTATAAAGGAAAAGGTCATTCCTTTAGTTTAGATCCGTGGTTATCCACCATATCAGAGCCAATGCACCCTTTTACACTGCCCCCAAAACAACCTGAAGTGGAATTACCTACCCATATAGGATTTCAAAGTCAAGAAAAATGCCCATTTCATTGAAACAAAAGTAATTTATAGTAAGATAATATGTATTTCGACATGCAGATGCTCAGGCAAGGCTGTGAGTAGGAGACACAATAAAACAAGGAGATGTATTTCAAGAGTAAGAACGGAACACCAAGCCCACTCCCTTCAGCACTTCAGGGCAAACCCCACATCTGCCGGGACTGACGCCATCCTCACGTCACTATTCAGAGACCGAGACTATCATCACATCCAGAGACGACCACGGACAAGCAGCCATGGGTGACTGGGAGGAACTGGAGCAGGTGCCACAGGAAACATTCCCTCCACTGGAGGCTGTGTGAGGCCATGGCCCAGGTAAGCCATCAATAGGCCCAGCTAAGAAATTTCTATTTCCACACCTTTCTAAACACACAAATTGCTCCCTTCATCTCCATAAACTCTTGAAAGATTGAGCTGGCCTTGTGACATATGTGTTATCACCACTGGCCTCTAGGAACATGCCAACTCTTCCATCCTGACTTTTCAAAATTACAGACTGCTAAACTAGCAAACAGTTTGCGATTATCTAATTTTGACCTTCATTTTCTAGGTCAGTAAAGTTAGATTTGTTTAAGGTTCTAAAGATTGTTAAAACCAAAGCATGAAGCTGCTTGATTTCCAGGAATGTGTTCACTGTACAACATTTAAAGAATGATAAGCTTAATATTCCCCTTCAGGGATCACAGCCTTTCCATGGTGAAGGGGCTTGCGAAACTCAATGAAGCTATGAGCTATGTCGTGCAAGGCCACCCAAGACAGACAGGTGACAGGGAAGAGCTCTGACAAAACATGGTCCACTGGAGGAGGAGATGGCAAACCACTCCAGGATTCTTGCTGCAAGAACTTCATGAACAGTATAAAAAGGGGAAAAGATATGACACCATAAAATGAGTCCACCAGGTTAGAAGGTGTCCAATATGCTACTAGGAAAGAGCAGATGGAAATTACTAATATCTCCAGAAAGAATGAAGCAGCTGGGCCAAAGCAGAAATGATGCTCAGTTATGGATGTGTCTGGTGGTGAAAGTAAGTCTGATGCTACAAAGAACAATACTGCATAGAAACCTGGAATAGTTAGGTCCATGAATTAAAGTAAATTGGACATGGTCAACTAGGAGATGATAAGAGTGAACATCGACTTCTTAGCAATCAGTGAACTAAAGTGGATGGGAATGGGCGAATTTAATTCAGATGACCATTATATCTACTACGGTGGGCAAGATTCCCTTAGAAGAAATGCAGTAGCCCTCATAGTAAATGCAGTAGCCCTCATAGTAAACAAGCGAGTCCAAAATGCAGTACTTGGGTACAATTTCAAAAACGACAAACCATTCAATATCACAGTAATCTAAGCCTATGCTCCAACCACCAAGGCCAAAGAAGCTGAAGTTAAACAGTTCAGCTACAGCTCAGCTACAGCTAAAGACCTACAAGACCTTCTAGAACTAACACACAAAAAAAGATGTCCTTTTCATCACAGGGGATTGGAATGCAAAAGCAGGAAGTCAAAAGATACCTGGAGTAACAGGCAAGTTTGGCCTAAGTACAAAATGAAGCAGGGCAAAGGCTAACAGAGCTTTGCTAAGAGAATACACTGGTCATAGAAAACAGCTTCTTTCAACAACGCAAGAGATGACTCTACACATGGACACTATGAGATGGTCAATACAAAATTAGACTGATTATGTTCTTTNAGAAAGCTGGTGGAGGTGATGGAATTTCAACTGAGCTATTTAAAATCCTAAAAGATGATGCTGTTAAAGTGCTGTCCTCAATACATCAGCAAATCTAGAAAACTTAGCAGTGACCACTGGACTGGGAAAGGTCAATTTTCATTCTAATCCCAAAGAAGAGCAACCCCAAAGAATGTTCAAAGTACCGTACAATTGCATTCATTTCACGTGCTACTAAGGTTATCCTCAAAATCCATCAAGCTAGGCTTCAACAGTACACGAACAGAGAACTTCCAGATGTACAAGCTGGGTTTAGAAAAGGCAGAGGAACTAGAGATTAAAATTCCAACACTTTGATTACAAAGAAAGGAAGGGAATCCCAGAAAAACATCAGAGGAAACTGATTGCTTCCTTGACTACACTAAAGCTTTTGACTATGTGGATCACAACAAACTATGGAAACATCTTAAAGAGATGACAGTACCAGACCTCCTTACCTGTCTCTTGAGATACCTGTATGCAGGGTAAGAAGCATCAGTTAGAACCAGACATGAAACAATGGACTAGTTCAAAATTGGGAAAGGAGTATAACAAGGCTGTACATTGTTACTCTGCTTATTTAATTTATATTCAAAGTACATCATGTGAAATGCTGGGCTGGATGAATCACAAGCTGGAATCAAGACTGCTGGGAGAAATATCAACAACCTCAGAAATGGAGATGATACCACTCCAAAGGCAGAACGTGAACAGGAACTAAAGAGCCTCTTGACGAGGATGAAAGAGGAGAGTGAAGAAGCTGGCTTAAAACTCAACATTCAAAAAACTAAGATCACGGCATCCGGTCCCATCACTTCACAGCAAACAGGAGGAGAAAAAGTGGAAGCAGTGATGGATTTTATTTTCTCAGGTTCCAAAATCACTGCAGACAGTGACTGCAGCCATGAAATTAAAAGATGCTTGCTCCTTGGAAGGAAAACTATGACAAACCCAGAGTATAAAAAAGCAGAGACATCACTTTGCTGACAAAGGTCCATATCAAAGCTATGGTTTTTTCCAGGACTCATGTATGGATGTGAGAATTGGACCATAAAGAAGGCTGAGTGCATAAAAATTGATGTGTTCAAACTGTGATGATGGAGATGACTCATGAGAGTCCCTTAGACTGCAAGGAGATCAAACCGGTCAACCCTAAACATTCAATGGATGCTGAAACTCCAACAGTTTGGCCAACAGTCGGCTGATGTGAAGAGCTGACTCACTGGAAAAGCTTGCAGACAAAAGCAGAAGGGGGTGACAGAGGATGAGATGGTTAGATAGCATCACTGACTTGATGGGCATGAATTTGAGCAAACTCTAGGGGATAGTGAAGGACAGGGAAGCCTAGCATACTGCAGTCCATGGTGTTGCAAAGAGTTGTGCAAGACTTAGCAACTGAACAATAACAAAGCTTAATATTAAAAGATTTCTTGCAAGAAATTGAAACTTAGGGAAAATAAACACCAATAAAAATTTGACTGGCTGAAATTCCCCACCATCCTTTTCAGAGCTTCACATAGTTTCTCTGAAATCAAACAGGTAAAAATATCAGGAGCACTATAATGCATAATTCTTTTCATGACAAGAGCTTTTAAAAATAGTGGCCTAGCATTCCACTATTTGGATGTTCTATATTTTGTTTAATTACCTAGTTCTTATAGGCTATCTTGTTAATGAATCAATAAGAAATGTTTATATCCATTCAATAAAAAAAGAAAAAACCGTCACAAAACAAAAACACACAAAAAAAGACAAAGAAAGCAATCCCACTTGTAAGGTTAAAACTGAGAGTTTTAAAAACAAGGAAAAAGGACTTCTCTGGCGGTCGAGCAGTTAAGAATCCTCCTGCCATGCAAGAGACACGGACCCAATCCCTGGTCCAAGAAGATTTCACATGCTTTGGGGCAACTAAGCTCCCATGAGCTGCAACTACTGAAGCACACACGCCCTAGAACCTCCACTGCAACGAGAAGTCTGCACGCCACAACTAGAACGTAGCCCCCACTTGCCACAGTGAGAGAAAGCCCGCCCTCAGCACGAAGACTCAGCACGGCCAAAAATAAACAAACAAAAAGCATAACAAACTAAAAAGATAATAAAAACAAGGAAAAAATTCTACAAATAGTATGGGCTTTTTAGAATACACCAAATTCTATATTTTAACCACCCGAAGAGTCAAATGCCTCTTCTCCATCCCTCTTTAGTCAATATAACCATGTCAGGGACTTCCCTGGGGTTCAGACCCCCTTTCAATTCAGGGAACTTGGGCTCAGTCCCTGGCTGGGGAACTAAGATCCTACATGGCTGGGGGCAAAAAAGCCTGCGTGCTGCAACTAGACAGCTACGAGAGCACCAAAACGAAGATCCCAGGAGCTGCAGCCGAGAGCTGTCGCAGCCAAATAAACACATAAACATTTTAAAGATAAATAAACAAAGACAGCCAGGCCAATTCAAAATGGAAAGTTACCTGCATTTAAAATACACAGTCCCTTCGTGGCTTCCATCGTGCTTTCCCCGCTCAGGATTGTCCCATTCTACTCCTAACCAGAGTCCTGGCAGAACAAGAAAACCCAAATGAGAAATTAGGACAAGGTGAGGCTCCATTTTTCTGTAAGCAAATACAGTTTGCAATGGAAATCATATCACACAGACACCACTGGGGAAGAAAGAAGTCTTAAAAAAGTAACCTTGGACTCAGGACTTAAACAGCAAAGGCAACAGTAAGTTTGGTTCAAAAAAATCAACAAAAAATACAACTGCAGAAAATAACTATAGCTACTGAGCACTTATGTGCCAGAAACTTTGCTTTCTTTCATGTTATCCTTACAACAGACATTTCATCTTTACAAATGAGATACTATTATTATCTTTTTTTAACAGTTCCTGAACAAATACATACTTTTTTGAGTCCTAGCCTAGCAATATGCTGTTCATAAAGTAAAATTATATATATAATCAGCATTTTTCTTCAATTTAGGTAAAATAACACCCAAAGTCACACATCTTCAAGTCATTCTAACTGCAGAAGCCAATACTTACTCACCATACTATGCCGAGTATAACTCATATCTTATATTTGCAAACCACATTCAGTTTTCAGAGCATTTTCTTACCTTCCCCTCTCTCTTCTACCTGTATTTAGTAAGTACCCACTATCCCATGGACAGAGGAGCCTGGTAGGTTATGGTCCAAGGCACCACAAAGAAACAGACACGACTGAAGCGACTTAGCCACACACACATGCACACAGAACTGTGCTGGGTGCAAACGTATGTGAGACAAAGAGTTTCGCTTCTGGATCTACCCTCCTGTGGAGAACTAGAAAGTCTAGATAAGCAATTTTTAAAAACCACTTTACACCAATTAGAATGGCTTGTGTCAACAAAACAAAAGAGAAAATAAGTGTTGGCAGGGCTATGTAGAAAGTGTTCATCTTATGCATTGCTAGTAGGAATGTAAAACGGTGCAGCCACTCTGGAAAAGAGCGCAGTGATTCCTCAGCAAGCTACACACAGAACTATCACCTAATCGAGCAATTCTACTTCTGGGCAAACACCCAAAGGACTGACAGCAGGAACTCAAATAGGTATTAGTATACTTGTCTTCATAGCAGCATTATTCAAAATAGCCAAAAGTGAACTGATGAATAGATAAAGTGTCCAATGACGGATCAATTACTAAACAAAATGTGGTCTGTCCATACAATGGAGTATTATTCAGTCTTAAAAAGGAATGAAATTCTGACACATTCTACAACATGGATGAACCCTAAAGACTTTATGCTAAGTAAACTAAGTCAGACACACAAAAACAAACAATACATGCATGCTAAGTCATTTCAGTCATATCTGATTCTTTGCGACTCCATGGACTGTAGCCCACCAGGCTCCTCTGTCCATGGGATGCTCCAAGCAAGAATACTGGAGTGGGTTGCCATTTCCTCCTTCAAGGGATCTTCTGAATCCAAGGACTGAACCCACACCTCTTACGTCTCCTGCACTGGCAGGCGGGTTCTTTACCACTAGTGCCACCTGGGTTTTCTTCAGAAAGAGAGAAATGTTCAGCCCTTCACCCCAAAGTCCATGCACTCATCACCTGGCCCCCCCATCACCTGGCACTTGAGACCCAGGTCCACCTGGCACCCGCCTGCCACCACGGGCCCGCGCACCTGAAGCTGACGCCCCCAGGCACGGTCCCCAGGCAGCTGGCGCACTGCCAGAGCAGTCCACAAGGTCTCAGCGCCAGTGATGGCCGCTGTGAGCAAGCAGCTGTCTGGAGGTGGGGTGGCAGGACACTGGGCTTGGCTTATTTGAAGCTGAATAAAATTGTATAAACTGAGTCATTTCTGATTAACTCTGCTAAAACCACATCATGAAACTAGAGCATAGGAAAGAACTGTTTTCAGAAAGAAACCCAAGTCTCTAGATAATAGGTTCATACCCAATACGGATGGCTAGGCATCATAACTGGGGCTGATAAAAATTAACTCAAATACAGAAATTATGTCCTACAATTAAAATAAACCCCAGTGCCCCTGCTATGGACTTGCGTTGGGGCGGGGGGAATACTGAGTATTCTGATTCATAATGTATTCTGACTCCCATTGAAGTTAAAGGGGTCATACTGAAAACCTTGGAAACACATGTGTTTACACCTCACCTCATTAGGGCAAAACTGAGACCAACGTTAGGTCCGAGTAGAAAAAACCTAGACATGCATGTGGGAGAAGTGTAACCAGGTTTCCTTCAGAGTGAGATCCCACGCTCAGCCCAGTCCAACCCAGAACAGACCATGGCCGTGGAAAGGGAGCCAGCTGACCACGTCTCGAGGTCATACCCAGAGAAGAGGGGACGTGGTGTAGAATCTGGGTGGCCATTGGGACCCCTGCAGCCTCCAACCCCAGAGCCCCTGCCCCAAACCACGGAATCTGGCAGGATTTCTAACTCGGGGTGTTTCCACTTCCACACCCCCACCAGGCAATGGGGACAGAGGGGCCTGAGAACTTCTGGCTCCGTTTCCTGGGCCGTGATGGGGAAGGCATCCTCGGCGACCCAGACAGGACCTCATCCCACCCCCAGTCCCTCCCACCGCACAAAGGCGGCTGAGTGGGGGGTGGGACTCGGCACTCCAGGTTCAGTGGGGTGTCCTGGGCCCCTGCTCTGGAAACCCAACTGTGTGTGTCGTTCAGCAGAGACGAAGTCTGGGGCCACCTGTATGAGAGGCCGAGAATACTCAAATTCATAGAAACAGAAAGTAGAATGGCGTCTGCCAGGAGCTGAGGCGAGGGCAGACAGGAAGTCACTGCCTAACGGCTGCAGGGTTTCACCCCGTGAAATGAAGTGGGCTCTGGATATGAATGGCGGTGATGCCTGTACAATGTTACTCTACTTGAAGTCGCTGAATTAGAAGTGACTGAAATGTTAAGTTATGTATAACTTACCACAGTGTAAAATACACACACACACACACACACACACACACATATCTTTCAAACCACCATGGAGCTAAAAAGGCACTGAAGAATTACAAGGCCAAAATCTGAGAGAAGAGGGAAACCTGGAGTTAAGCGAAACCTTGGAGCAACTTTTTTCCCTTGGGCATCTGCTGATTCTGGCAGAAAAGGCTGAAAAGCTACAAAGCTGAACAAAGCTTTGTTCAGCTTTGGATAGAGCTTTCGAGGGACTAAGGCTTCCCCAGTGGGTCAGTTGGTAAAGAATCTGCCTCTAATGCAGAAGACCCGGGTTCGATCCTTGGGCCGGAAAGACTCCCTGGAGAAGGAAATGACAACCCACTCCAGTGTTCTTGCCTGGAGGATTCCATGGACAGAGGGGCCAGGCAGGCTACAGTCCATGACCGCAGAGTTGGACACGACTGTGTGACTGACTTTCACTTTTGAAGGAGTGAGAGATAAATAATGAAAATCAGAGTCTCTCAAGGAAGGTGGAGGTTGCCAGAAACTCTCCAGGTTTTGTTCTGGGCCTTGAAATGCTTTCAACCTAAGAGCAAGAAGGAACCAACCTAAATAGTCTATCCCCTGTGGTGACTGAAGGTTAACGTCGAACAGTCACATTCCCAGATGTGCTTACGTGACCTGGAATTGCTGGGACCTTCTGCATCTGCCAGAGTTCACTTCAGTCCTCTCTGGAAGAAGACCCTACCACTGCAAAGCTCAAATTATAACTGTTCACAACCAATACCTGGCACTCAAAGAAAAACAACTAAGCACAGAAAAAGCCAAGTGTCTATGACTAGAAACCAAGAAAAACAACAGCCAAGAGAGACTGACTAAGGGATTGCACCCAACTGTGTCAAAAGAGGCTGCAACGTGGTAAAGAACTTGAACTTCATCCTGCTTCTCCAGAGAAACTTACAAGCATGGAGAAAAGAAGACATAACAGATGGGCAACAGGCACATAAAAAGATGCACATCATCACTAATTGTTAGAGAAATGCAAATCAAAACTACAATGAGGTACCATTTCACACCAGTCAGAACGACAATCATTAAAAAGTCTACAAATAACAAACACTGGAGATGGTATGGGGAAAAGGGAAACCCTCCTACACTGTTGGTGGGAATGTAAATTGGTGCAGCTACTATGGAAAACAATATGCAGGTTCCTCAAAAAATTAAAAATAGAGCTCACATATGACCCAGCAATCCCACTCCTAGACATGTATCCAGACTAGAATTAAAGAATTTAAAAAACTCTTAATTCAAAAAGATACATGACCCCTATGTTCACAGCAGCACTATTTACAATAGCCAAGACATAGAAGCAGCCTAAATGTCCATCAACAGATGAATGGATAGAGACAGTATACGTACACAATGAAATATTACTCAGCCGTTACAAAGAATGAAGTAATGCCATCTGCAGCAACATGGATGAATCCAGAGATTATCATACTAAGCAAAGTAAATCAGAGAAAGACAAATACCCTATGACATCACCTATATGTGGAAACTACAATATGACACAAATGAACATATCTAAAAAACGAAAACTCACAGATGAAGAGAACAGACTTATGGTTGCCAGGCACGGGGCGGGTGGTGGCAGGTTGGGAAGGATTAGGAGTTTGGGATTAGCAGTTGCAAACTATCATATGTAAGATGGATAAGCAACAAGGTCTTACTGTATAGAATGGGGAACCATGTTCAATATCCTGTGAGAATTAAGCCCTAATAGAAAAAAATATACATACATATGTAAAGCTGAATCACTTTTCTGTAGAGTAGAAAATGAACATAACATTGTAAATCAACTATAATTCGATAACATTTTTTAACTTTCAGAAGAAAGAAAACTGGAAACTGAAAGACCAAAAGTCACTAACAACAGCAACAACAACAAAAAAGCTGAAGGAGGGTAGAGAAGAAGCATTAAAAGAGGATAGGAGAGAATAAGTGAAAAAGTACTAGTCAAGTAGCTTTGAGTTTCCTTGCAGCAAAAAGAAAAAGATGCAATCTTCTTGGTCAGTAGTAAAACCATCTCAGTTTTTTCCTGTTCCCTGAGCTAACAGTAATTTGTCACAGAGTCTTTGTTTG